TCTTCAAGGCGCGGTACGTTGCTCGTGGCTTCAGTCAGCGGCAGGGAGTTGACTACTTTCAGACCTTCTCTCCCACCCCGAAGATGACCACTCTTCGGGTGCTGCTGCACATAGCCGCTCAGCGCGACTACGAGCTTCACTCTCTCGACTTCAGCACTGCGTTCCTGCAGGGTAGCCTGCACGAGGAGATCTGGCTGCGCCGTCCACCTGGCTTCACTGGGACTTTCCCTTCTGGCACCCAGTGGAGCCTCCGACGGCCAGTCTACGGTCTCCGCCAGGCACCGCGTGAGTGGCACGACACACTGAGGACTACGCTTGCGGCTCTTGGGTTTGCTCCTTCTACTGCTGACCCGTCGCTGTTTCTGCGCACCGACACTTCACTGCCGCCGTTCTATATCCTCGTGTACGTCGACGACTTGGTCTTTGCCACAGCGGACACTGCTGGACTCGCCTACGTGAAGTCCGAACTGCTGAAGAGACACACGTGCACAGACCTGGGTGAACTGCGCAGCTACCTTGGCTTGCAGATCACTCGGGACAGAGCACGCCGCACCATTACCTTGACTCAGTCACACATGGTGCAGCAGGTCCTTCAGCGCTTCGGCTTCACGTACTCCTCGCCTCAGGCCACTCCTCTGCCTACTCGCCACTCACTCTCAGCTCTGCCTTCGGATGAGTCCGTAGAGTCGGATGGTCCGTATGCAGAGCTTGTTGGCTGCCTCATGTACCTGATGACCTGCACACGACCTGACCTTGCATATCCTCTGAGCATTCTTGCACGCTATGTTGCTCCTGGGAGACACAGACCAGAGCACATGGCTGCAGCGAAGAGGGTATTGCGCTACCTGTGCAGTACGTCGGGCATGGGGCTTGTGCTTGGAGGGCGAAGTCCAGTGGTCCTTACCGGCCACGCGGACGCTTCTTGGGCTGACGACCAGGCTACGCAGCGGTCGTCACAGGGTTACACCTTCAGCCTTGGTTCCGGCTCTGTCTCGTGGCGGTCTACTCGCTCGTCTTCGGTTCTCGGCTCCAGTTGTGAGGCTGAGATCTACGCCGGGGCCATGGCTGCACAGGAGCTTCGCTGGCTCACCTACCTGCTGACTGACCTTGGAGAGCCGCCTCGTTCTCCTCCAGTGCTGTACGTAGACAACAAGGCCATGCTGGCCTTGTGTCGAGAGCAGCGCTTGGAGCACAGAACGAAGCACATTGCTCTCCGCTACTTCCTTGCTCGTGAGCTGCAGCAGCGTGGTCAGTTGCGACTTGCGTACGTGGCCTCTGAGGCCAACATTGCTGATGTGTTCACCAAGGCACTCGCGCCTTGTGACCATCAGCGCTTTTGCACCCTGCTGGGTCTTGTGCCTGTCTTGCCTCACTTGCTCTCCTCTTGACTTCACTTGTACTGTGACATATATATATACCTGCTCTTGCTTGTCTAGTTTTATATATATGTCTGTACTCCTGCATGTGAACTGGCCTCTGGCCCTGCTCTTGTGCTCGGACTGTGTGGTGACTTTGTGATCCACCCTGAGCTTGCTTTGCTTTGCTTGACTGGTCTTGTGACCCCTTGTTCTCCCCCACTTTGCCTATGGGGGTGTGTCAAACATTATATATGTTATGCTTGTGTAGGCTACAGTGGGTTAGCCTATAGGGGGTACACAATTCTAGGGTTTCCTACTTGTACTCATTTCACTGCTAGTTCATTCATTCCTGTTCGCTTATTCTCACAGTCCCGACTGCTGGTGTTGCTCGTAGAAGGACATGAAGGAGAAAAATTTCTCCATCATGCTCTGGTCGAAGTCAGAAGGATGGTTCGTGGGGGTCTCGGTTGACGTTCCCCTTGGTCTTACTGCCGTGCCTTCCTCTGTCTGCAGGCCAGAGGCTGGCGGTGGAGTAGGAGTAGTGCCCGAGGAGCCATTAGGGGAGCTCCTTTCCTTGTTTGTTGCCATGTCTTGTAATGATAAAAAAGTTAGAGTTTTCCCCTGTCAGCTCTCATACCATGTTGGGCTGAGAAAACCCTTAAGGATCTTTGCAGATGATAACTCTGGGTAGGATATTTGTAATAGCGGAAGCGTTTAATGAAGTTTGTGAACCGACCTTGCACTAGTGTGTGAGAGCAAAGTGGATTGAATTAAACAAGCAAATACAAGGTTTTATATAAGAGTACAGGGAATACGAATGGATAGATAACCGTATTTGCTGTTGCGATTCGATACAGTGCGACTCGGGCAACTGCTCTGTAACGAGTCAGTTGTATGTCCTTAACTGTCGCGCTGTAATTGTCGAGTCAAAGGTCGCTGACCTTTGACTTTCCCGTAACCTCCAGGCGGTTACCCTAGCCTCCGAGGTTTGACTCGATGCTTCGATTCGGACTGCTTCGCTAGTGTCTTGGGTTTTGACACGACAGAAGCGCACTAAGACTTATTGTTTCCAACATCATAAACCAGAGATTCCTAGCTGGCCGCCATTGGACAGAAAATCCGCACCAGCCTTCCAGACCGCCCTGAAATGAATCGTGTAGTCATCTCGCATGAAATCAACCTGCCTTATTATAATGTAGCGAAGCGAGCTCCGTAATCTGCATATTGCATGAAGTTTATTCTGCCCGTCTGACAGCCAGATTTTGGTTCCAACTAGACCTGACCGGAGGCGTTCAAATGCCAGTCTGGTTTGCTGCTCCAGAGCAAGCCGCGCCGCGTCATTTCCAAGGCTCCCCTCAGGCCTCGATCTCTTCCCTCACATCAGGATTTGAGGGGAACTGCTGACCACAGGAATAACAATTCATCAGAGGTTGTCACAATTCATAACACAACTCACGACAGTGTTCTGCTTGTTCCTCACTTGCTCATCCATCATGTTTGTAAGCTTCAGGAGTGTGTTGTTCGTCTGCTTGCTTCTCAGCTTAGAAACTTCTGCCGTGCATCTAGTCCGCTCAGTCATCGAAAGAAGTGTCAGTGAGTTAAGTTTTTTATGCACAGAATCAGGGGCACAGGCGCTAACGCGTTCAATGCTTAATATGCTAGTTCACGCCGTTCTTGTCTGGAGTAAACGATCGTCAGGTCAGCGTTAGACTTCAAGATAGATATACCCTTGTTGGCAAAGATAATTTTCCTTTTTCAATCTTACACTCCGTCTTGCCTGAATATGGGGTTTCCGTTGCCGAAAACCTGGTAACCATGTCGCCGGTTTGCGTCGCCGTGCACTCCGATGCCTCCATGGACCTGTACACGTCAGCACACGCTACAGGTCATGGCGTTCCTAACGGCGGTTCTCACGGTCCGACCCAGAGCCAAGGAACCAGGGTTAGCCGTCGCCCTTCCAGTAGGAGTTCTGATAAAAGAAACGATTCTGACGCGTCGCGAGTAAAGGAGGTGAGCCGGAGGGCCGTCGACCCCGCGGATAAGGCGAGTCGCTTTCGTTCTTTCGTGCGTGATGACGTGGCTGGCAGCGGGTCGCAGTCCAGCATCGTGATTCACGATGACGTCGCCGACGAAGCCGCTCGTTTCATGGCGCACGACGCGCCGTGGATTGCGGATGCGGGCGAAGACGGTTCCGCGAGACACTATCGCGAAGAAACCCTAGAAACGATACCAATTGGGAGGACGAATCAAAACGTTCACAGCAACGGCGACGAATCCCATGGAAGGTTGGAAAGCCAAGGCAGCTCGCGCTTTGAAATGGCAGATAGGAAGGGATCGGCAGCAGGGACCAGCAGCGTGCGGAAAGAGGCAACGGGTAAGGTTCGCGCTCGTCGGACCAAAGCCGTAAGCGATTCGAACGGGGTCTCCGCAACAGAGGCCGCGGGAGAGGGCTCCTGTGGACAAGCGATAACCGTTGAGTCGGCTCGAACGTCCTGCCGGCCTGAAGCCATGGGCGACTCGAGCTGGGTTTCTTCAGCAGAGGCAGCGGAAGAGAGATCCCGCGCACACGCGCCGACCGTTGAAGGGTCCGCTCGTCGCAAGTCGTCTCGGTTGCCCACCTCGCACTCCCGCTCGTCTTCTACCTCCGCTGACCTGGAGCGTCTGCAGCCGCAGCAGCCGCAGCATAGAGAGCAGAGCGAGCAGGTTCAGCAGGCACTGCTGACGCACCAGGCGCAGCAGGAAGCTCGTGGCCCCGCAAGTTTTCCCGCTCGCGCGAGCAGCAGCCACAGCAACGTGGACGACAGCAGCTCTGACGTTAACAGGAGCAGCAGGAGCAGGATCCGGAGCAGCTGTAGCAGTGGGGATGGCAGCGGCGGCAGCAGTAGCAGCAGGAGCAGCAGCAGGGGCAGAAGCAGGGACCAGAGAGTCCAGTCAGAGAAGCAGGAGTGTGAGCATGCAGCTATTGGCGCTGCTGCTGCTGCTGCACAAGACGCGGGGAGGGAGGGGAGAGGACGGGGGAAAGAGAAG